TATTTTTTCGTTTTCAAGTCTCAACACAGGTCGCTTGTCACGAATCATAACCGACAAAAAACATAAAGTGCAAGAAATCTCACAATTTTTAATCGCTGTTGCAAGACAAGTGTGCTACGGCGAAACATGAGCAGGCTTTTTTTCTCAGCTAATACACAGGTCAAATTTCGGAAATGATGTGCACAAAAGACGACGAAACTGTTTGGAACTTTTTGCCATTCAAAAATATAAGATTTCGTACATATTATTAGCGGTACAATTTAATACTTGGAATCGACGGTTTGGCTGACGATGGCATATTTCCATGCTTTAGACACCTGTAAACAATGTTAAAAGAAAACGTCAGAATCTTAACTTTTTTGCGATGCAAATTGACAAACTGCGTACGTGGTTGGAAAATATAAATTTTAAATGTTTAGGAGAATAGAACAACATTTTCTTTGGCACAAGAATGACTAACACTCATGTTTTGTACACGATGCCAGTATTCGAAAATTCACGTTCTCAATGCGACGTGACACGAGTAGGACGACGGCTTAGGCATGCGCAATGTGCATCTTGCTTGAAAATTTACTTCCGGCGACGTCTTAGAGCCGTCGCGTCCTAAATCTTAAAGTCCCTATTAGCGGTCTGTCTCGTGACGCTATCCAATCACCTCGCGGTCAAGTCGATAACACGCTGAGATGACTCAATTAAAACTAAAAGCCCCCAAGGCACAATTCGGATGAAATAACTAACTGAGAGCTCACTATCTGCATACTGAAGTAGCCACGTTTATTATGCTGTCTTGGTTGAATGACGTCACTTCCTCTCCCGCCCCAGCTCTCTCGGCAGTACGCGGCCGTATTTGAATTTTGCAATGGCGGGAAGTCAAAGCGAGAAATCGCGGCTCAATTAGTCGCACTTCTCGGGGAGAGAAAGACTTCAAACCTGGCTTGGTAAGTATTTAGCACCTACACATTTGAAACATCGAAGAAGACAAAAAGGTCAAAATTTGATCATAGTAGCACTTTAAAGTGACATGAATGTTACTACAATCACTGACAGCTGTCAAAATGACATCCAGAGCTTACGTCAGACTCACTCGCACTCGTCACCCCGTCTATCAACTTTATTGGTCATAATCGTTTTGAACCGTCGCTCGTTTTGAAGAAGTTTACTCGTAATAGTCTAATTGCAATACCATCACAGTTACGTATTTTACGGTTACTTATAGACATTTTATCCCTTACTGGCAACACACTTCCGTAGCTTCGGAATTTCTGCTTTAATAAGCCGTTTCCGAGTTGACTTCTGCCTCTTTTTCAAGACGAGTCTAAGTGCGAAACCAATCATATGAAAATTAGTTTCACTCGCATGTTCATTTTCACGTAAATCAAACTCATTTTCATTTGAATGGTTTCGCACTTAGACTCGTTTTGAAACAGAGGCAAACGGCAACTTGGAAATGGCCCATTGAGCTGAGACGGCTTAAAGGAGCTCAGTCACGGTTTGCGCACATTGACAAGTTTAGCCTCAATTTTTCAAAGTCGTCGTTTGTAATCCCTGTTAATCCTCTCCATCTTTAGCCATCCTTGTTCCTTTATGGTTTATCATTATCTCTTTGGTGTTTTTCTATCTCATTAAACTGTTATTTTCAGGTTTCCTACCATTTAAAGGTAATTTTGCATGTGGCCAAAATAACTCAAAATACCGTGACTGAGCCCCTTTAAGAACTTTGTACAACAATTAAAAATGAAGTGAAAAATAAAGCAATATAACTCACCTAAATCCAGGCGTCTTTGCTTAGTTACATAGCTGATAAGGTACTAGAAAAAAATGAAAGAGAAAACTTTCTAACACAACTGATCGTGCAGCTTGTGTTCTAAACTGACGAGGTAGTTAAAACGATGGACCATAGATTTCTACATGCCTAAGCCACCCGTGAATGATAGTTAACACTAGGAATAATCATAATTTTACAGGATTTGATAGATAAAGTAGACAATGATTGGTATCCGTTGAAGGTCTGCTGAAGGTTTAAGAGTCTACGTACATGAATGAGGTAAATTGATGAGAAAAAAACACTAAAATGTCCTACTATGAGAATACTAAATACCTTTTTGACTAGTACAGTGTTCCTGTAGACTTTTTTGCTTGTAAAATAGTAAAGCGTATAAGATCCATAAAGAAAATTATGTAATAACTCACTGTATGTAGTAGTTCTGTAACGAATCTGTTGTATCGTTGTCAGTAGTGTAAGTTTTGTAATGTAAGTGTAACTTTTGTTGCATGGTAATTTTTGTGATAAATCTAAACGATCTTTGAAAAAGAAAATAAGTGAAATCAATTTATCGCTTAAAAGATTCACGACTTCCTCCAACTACACAAATCCCTCATAAAAAGTCTGTTTTGATCAGTATGACCTCGTATCATATACATTAGACAGGTAGTCCTTCACAAAGTATTTCAGCTCTCACCTGATTTCAGCAAAGTTCATTGTTACGTCATCGCCAATCAGTACGAATGGTGCCCAGTATCTCACTTCACTGAAGTCGTCAGATTCTCTCATGCATTTCATGGCTTGATTCACTGACTTACTTGCACAGTTTCCATCCATCAGATGCTGGTAGAAATATCTCATAAACCCTAGAGTGGCTTTGTCATCAATCGCCCACAGAGAAACTAAAACAGAACGAGCACCAGCACCCAGAAACGCACGTGCAATACCAACTACACCTTCAGCTTTAATGTCTCCTCGACCGCTATGACAGCAACTTAAGACGACAAGCTTGGCTCGCAACTTCGAATTCAACACATCCTTCATTTTCAAAAGAAAGTCTGCCTCCTTGGGTCTTTTGGACGAGGTTGGGTTCGGAGACAAAACAATTTCTCCGGTTTTTGCACTACCATGAGCTGCAATGTGCACCAAGAAAACCGAGTCGAGTCTGCATAGGACTTTAGCTTTCGTTGCTTCTTTTCCAATAAGAGGTTCACTCTTCAGAATCTTCCCAATCATTTCAACTTCCTCTTTGGCAGACGGGAGCTGTGGCACTCTTTTTCCTCTGATACGTACACTTTCCACCCATGGATCTCCAACCAGCAATGCACCAGTCGTACAATGGTACTCGTCTGGACACTCTGCCAACAGTCTCAGACTGGTCAGTGAAGGAGCAAGTCGAACACTGAACGTTTCAGAAAAAGACCTGGATTCTTCATCTTTGAGTGCGGAAAAAGGAAGAAAGTACAAAGGACCATCAGGAACAATAGTAATTTGGCCATCTTTGATAATATCTGAGATCGGGCCGATTACTTCATTGTACAGTATTTTTACAGCGTCTTGGGCATTCTCTTTTACTGAAGAACCATCGCCTTCAGGGCTATGACCAAGTTCTCTTTCCTCTGATGATTCATCCAGCGAACGATCGTCACACTTAACTGGTTTCTTGACACCAATGTTCTGGTAAGCCTCTTCCACCAAACCTTTCAAATCTGTATCAGTTTTCTTTCGGACGAATTTAACTTGATTTTCTTTGTCAAGTACCCAGAAATTTAAAACTGCGTCGTTGTCCACTGCTACAAATACGACTTGTGATGAGATGTATTGTGACACGGAAGTGTTTTTCTCAATCTGCTCTCCCGATTCCGTCTGAGGTACTTTTAAACCGTATTGCATTTCCATAAGGTCCATTAGAGCTTGTCCACGCCCTCGTTCAGCTGTAGAGAGAGCTTCAACGGTCTTGTTTAGTTGTAACTGAACGTTCCATAAAGTGGTGTACCACTTGTCATAGCGATCCCGAAGGCTGATTTTGCAGTCGTCTTTGGAGCGAAGAAGGCTTCTCATCTTCTCAGTAAATGTAAGGCTCATTTGGAAAAATTTCTCTGCTAAAACTAAATCGCCCTGAGAGTAGAAAACACGAGCAATATTACAGAGTACCCGACCTTGCCCAGTAAGGTCCTTAGCGGCTTTGGCAAAACTAAGATCTTGCTGGTAAAACGTGAGAGCGTTTTCGAAATCACCCAGATCAAAATAAGCCATGCCAAGATTAGCACACGCGCGTCCTTGTCCAGCCTTGTCTCCAATCTCTATGGAGATTTTACGATCTTGCAGATGGTTCTTTACCGCTTCGTCTAATCTACCAAGGCAGTGATAGGCAATGCCAATATTTGCATACGCGCCACCTTGTGAAGTCTTGTCTCCAGCTTCTTGAGACATGGCAAGACGACTTTGGTGGTTCTCAATGGCCTCTTCAAACATACCAAGCCCCTGGAAAGTGACACCAAGATTGGCGTAAGCCTGTCGTTGTCCAAGTTTGTCCTCATTGTCCTCTGAAATTTTCTTATATTCATTGAGGTGTACGAGGGCTTCCTTGAAATCACCGATGTTGTTATACACAACGCCAAGATTACCAAGTGCAAATCCTTCGGCTCTGTCTCTTACTTCTTTGGCAAGGTTAAGAGCATGTTGATGACAATCCAGGGCGTTATTGAAATCACCGAGAGATTTATAATCAATTCCAAGATTACGATATGCACGTGCCTGCTCAGATCTATCTTCGTGACCCTTGGCAATATCGAGCTGTTGCTGGTGGTACTCTAGGGCCTGTGTGAAATCACCCATGTGCTGATAAACAGCGCCAAGTCTACCATATGCATTTCCTTCTTCACTTTTGTCTTTCAATTCCTTGAAAATGTTAGCCACTTTCAGTTCATATTGGAGGGCTTTATCAAGCTCACCGAGATAACAATAAGCATTGGCGAGGTTGGTATATGCACGTGCTTCTCCAGCTTTGTCCCCAATAGCACTGGTAATACTAAGGTCCAGCTCGTGGTACTCTACGGCCTTCTTTACCTTTCCGAGAGATTTATAAACATTACCTAGGTTACCGTACGCTTTTACTTCTTCGTCTTTATTTCTGACCTCTTTGGTAATACTGAGGTGTCGCAGGTGGCAGTCCATGGCCTCTTGCAGTTCACCTAGGGATTTATAAGTAAGGCCAAGATCAGAATAGGCGCGCCCTTCAGCAGCTCTGTTCCCGGTGTGTTGGGCTTGATTAAGGTCCAGCTTGTGGTACTCCAGGGCTTTTTTGAAATCTTTTGAATCGTAGAATTTCACTCCAAGACAGCGGTATGAGTGTCTGTCTGTTGTGGGATCGCATGCTTCATAAGGCTGAAAATGTGAGAAAGTTCAACACGTCTTTTCAAAAATTAGAACACTTTCAGAACGTAATGCAGTTAATGCTGGGTATTCAATAAGAGTGTCATGGTAAAACAAAGATGTAATTCATGATATTCCGGATTCTTTGCCTATTGTCCTTTTACGCGTCGAGTGACGTTGGCCAATTCACGAGTATTTGGATTGACGTGCATTTGGTCTTCGCGGCTGAGGTCGCTCTACTTTTTGCTGCTACACCGTACTGACGAGACCCAACCACGGTTGCATCTTGGCTTTCAGTTTGGACTCTATCATGTTGATGTCACATTAAGTTTTTCTACCGGCGGAGTGTCAGCCTTGCTTATTTGCAGCTCTTTTAGCAAATCGACTGCAAATCGACTCCTCAATGCAAATAGAGTGGCAGGAGAGGGTTTCAGGTGTATTACTTTGGGGACGAGAGTTTTGAATGGTTGTCAAACAGAAGTTTAAGTTTATTTCTGGTGAAAAATAATTAAGAAGTGCGAGTGAGAAACTACTATTAAACAACCTTCTTGTTGCAAATGATGCACGTATTAATGTCAAGCTCCAGGCGGGGGACCCGTACTTATGCAGGGCATTCGATTTCAGAAGAATTTTTGGTCAAACTCCCAACCTTAGGGCCCGAAAAATGGGTAAAATCAGATCGAATAGTTCCCAAATGCTACCACTTTAATATCGTGCTTTAATATTGAAAACAAGTGTTGATGTTTAAAACAGCCATGTTCTTATGTGTTCATGGGGGAGCAGGGAAGGCGCAGGGGTGAGGGCGCTCCCCCCAACCCCGTACTTATGTCTTATTCCTCTTCGCAGAAAATCAAATGTCCCTACCCCGGGGCCGAGACTAGGCCTTTCCTCGTTATGCTAGTAAAACTGGCATTTTATGCTCCTAGCAATTCTCGTTTAACGCCAAAGAAATTGCTCAAATTATGCTCGATTTTCAAAGTAATGCTACCTTGGTTCCAGAAAATGCTTTGTTTTATTTCAAGCAAAACGTACAAACTCAGGCATCATGTGTGCTTATCATCAACTGACTTATGAAAAGCGCTTAATTGTTTGATGCAGCCAAATCTTGTCCAATGATTAACAGTTAATTAACGTTCCAAGTCCTTAACGCTTGTTGTACTGTGACATGACGCTGGCCTGGAGGTAGTCAACAAGAGCACAATTCTGTTGCTCGTATCCACTGGTTTATTCTAAAGATCAATCTCGAGCTGTCGTTGAAGGGATTGTTCTATCGGTTCTCCGTCAGAATTTCCCTCTATGAGCTGCAAGTTTCGAGAAGATGGCATGACACTGGCCGACGTCATCTTATTTGAGCAAGCGCGTGAACGGCCTCTAAAAGTTAACCGCTGACCAGTAAGGTCCAGACTTCTTTCGAGTCAGTTCAGATGCACTCAGTTGATACTTCAGTTACAGAGATCCTTCTCTCAAACACAAAAGCAAATCATCACAATGCTTTTGAATCTAAAATTTTAGCAGTGCTGAAATCTAGCAACCTCGTCCCCAGGACTTTTCCCTTCAAAGGGAAAAGCCCTAGGAACGAGGTTGGAAATCTAGATCAAAGTTAGGCCAAATGCTTAATAATGCTAGCATTCCTTTTTCACAGAAAAAGTGTGAAAAAAAAATACTTGTTTAACCAAATAATGCCAAAAAATGTTAGCATAATCGGGAAGGGGCTAGCCGAGACTCAGAGTAGGGATGGCAAACGAGGTCAAATGTCCCACATCTGCCTGGGTTCCCCCCCCCCCCTTCCCACTCCCTCCGGCCTGACATTGATAGGTGTATTAAGATGGAAAGTACGAGACGCTGGGTAGATATGTAAATTAAATTATCTGGGAATTTTATAGATAAAAAGGCTAGGGCAGTTGAAATGGATTTTAGTTTTATCCCACAGACAGCGTCACTTCTGCCAATCGGTGACTGACGGCTATGTTTTCAAAAATTTAGGCGCAAAATAGAAAGTGATTTCTTACTTGATCTGTCTCCAAATTTGTCGTTGTAAGGTAACATTTCTATCAAAGCACTTCGTTGAAATCAGTTACTGCAATACTGACAGAAATATAAAGTTTTTAAATACCTGATCTTCAGCTGCAATGTCTAAATTGTTTTCGTCTTTCCCTTCACTTGCAGACATTCCGTTTGGTTCTAATAGTAGATGTGTTAAGGACCATCTTTCGAAGAGTTTATATATCGATAATGTAATTATACTTCTTCAGATAACTCGTTAGCTTATAACTAAATAAAACAACACGAAAAAGACTATTTAGATATCATCTTTTTGACTGTTTGTCTGTTTTGTTTGTTTGTTTTCTTGTTATAGTTGTTGTTTATTTTTAATTTAGCTCATCACAGAAAAAAACTCCAATCGTAAGCTTATCAATAAACTACGAGTAGATACGAAGATAACTTTCATTGAGAACATCGACTCAGCGCGTACAGAAACTATCCAAGTTTCGTTTCTTCTTTTTGTCAGTAAAAAATAAAAAAAAACTTTTTTAAACATCCTTTACAAGGGCACAAAAAGATGCCGGACTTACACAACAGTGTGGTATGTAATATTCAAAAGTCGTGTGCTATATGGAATTCTGGAATCTCATTGGCTGACCAGAGTTCATTCATGGGCTGTAATACCCAAATATCATGCATTAATGACTTCCTTACTTCTTTTTCTAAACATACATGGACGTGTATATGGTAGTTTTATCTTAACATCAACTTATGTTTGTATCAGTCTTTCCTTTAAAAGTTTACTTTGCCGGATTCATTTACGTCAGGAAGGTATCTGATTCTACTATATCATCCTCGACAGGCTGACAGATACCCTGGAAAAACAACTGCAGTGTAATCAGGTAAGGTTTTGAAAAGGTAAATCCTGCACTGGTCATATTGCCACTCTAAGGATAATCATTGAACTTTCAAAAGTTTATTTTGATTCATTTACCTCAGCAGGGTGGGTATTCTACCTTACCATCCTTAGTCTCCTCCGCAGCCGTTTTTTGGGATGTCACGTGACGCTCCCCCGCTGCGTGACATCCCAAAAAACGGCTGCGGAGGAGACTATATCATTCTTGACAAGCTGCAAAGTGTCCTAGACACACAACTGCACTGATCAATTTAGCACTGATTTTCAATTCATTGTTTGTTTGTTTATTTATTTGTTTATTTTCCTTTACTTATTTATAAGTTCAAAGGATACTTGCAATTCTTCACTGGCTTATTCACGTTACGATGTCTTCCAACAATAGCTTTCAAGAATTCACTAAACGCAGAATCATTAATTTATCAAATAAAAGAAATTTTACTAAAATCGTACAGCCGTAAATTCTACAGATATCAGTCAAAGCTAATTGTAGCTACCCAGATTGGTTACCTGGGGATCAATAGAAGATTTTCAAAACAGATTTGTGTTACTATGCGTGTTGCACGTTACATGTTGTTCACAATATACGTTTCGACACTTAAATAACAATGAAAGGAACTGAGGTGAAAGGAATCGACCAAACTCGTAACGATTTTACATTCCATCTATATCAGCGCTTAAAACTCAGGCAGAGAGGACTAGTCACAAGTAACCCACACAAATTAGAACATCACCTAGCCTTGTAGAAGTATCAGCCCATAATCGACACAAATAACCCATCAGTCAAAGATCGCTCTTCAGTAGCTATCGACGTGTAAACACAGCGGTAAATTAAATGCTTTCGTGTTGACTCACAGGACAAATAAAAACTCCTTAGTACTTAAAACAGAAAACATTGGGAATTATATATTAGCAAAGGTTGTTAAAAGTACTTTGGCTGCTTTTCATTTTCCGAGATAATCATGAACTCAGTGACATCGGATCGACCATGTCGATATTGTAAGGTGCAGCCAGTTTGTGGAACTGACAAAATAATCATGCATGATTGTGCGGATCAACAGGACTTTATATCCTCCGTTGCATTAAAACTCAAATAAAAACGTGGACAGTCTCACCTTTATCTTGATAGATTTGAATTACAACCAGCAAATGTTTTCTCGTTGATAGAACTTTCTTATACCATGACTTTCAATCGAAAACAATATTCCGTAAATTGAATATCATCTAAACAATCCAAGAATACTATTCCTTTTGTTTGAGTTAGGACGTGCTTGAGCGCATTTTCTGACACGGTTTCTGATTTTCCGCTTCTAGTAGAATACAGAATTCAGGCCGTTGTCAGTCTATCTGGGATTAAATGAGAAAATGAGTGAAATACGGGCAATTTGTTAAATTTGGTTTTTGATTATTTAAACCGAGTTCTGATTTCAAACAAATCTTGCCCAAGTGCCCATACGATACATGCAATATCTCTCGGTACGAGCCAGTTTTAAGTGATTGTTGTTTTAACAACACCATTGTTTAACAATGATGTTTTGAGGTTACCTTGTAGAACAATTATTTTTCATTTGTTTTGTGTTTGTGTCACGTTTCAATCAAAATCTCACGGTCTAACGGAATCTAAAAGATCGTTACTAAAAGCCTTTCAATATCAGTCAATGATTAACATGTTAGAGGAACAGTGCGGTCATTAGGCCTATCCTGTGTGGTCGGCGTACAAAGAGGAGTACATTTTCCGCTGGTATTTTAGCGTCACATTCCTCGCTGGATTTTCTGTGTTAGGTGTCGGAGGACGCTTATTGCGAAGTCGTAATTGGTCGTTTCTTTCTATTTATACTTTACGGCAGTTCTGTTCGATCTCTCTCGCTTGCAACCCTACACTTATTATCCTTCGAGCCGGTCACGTTCTCTATTTTACATGCGATCCACCCATTCTTCTTTGTACCTGTTTTGCGGATATTTAAGTGCTAAATAATTTACGTTCGTTTGAACGTAGTGAATTAGAACGTAAGGAGGGATGAAGTTTAATTCGAGCGCGAAGCGCGATTGTTGGGACCTGGGAGGGAACTAACTTTCCACCTCCCTCCCCTTTATACGCCGACCACGCCACAGGCAGCCCAAGCTCACGATAGAGGAGAGGATAGCTGAATTGATTTCTTTTCTTCTTGTTTTTCTTGTTTATTTGTTTGTTTGTTTTTCCGCTTTTGTTTACTCTTTTGTGAGCGAAACGTCGAGCGAAACGCCATAACCGGATGTACAGCATTATATAACAACCGCTCAAGAGAGGATCATGGATCCTCGTTTGGTTTGGTCCAGCTGACTAACTTTACATGTGCAGAGGCTGCTATCTATTTGGGTCGACCCAAATAATACGTTGGCAGTTAATTCAAACGTAGAACTTAGTACTTCATGTGCCGAACTTCTTTATTAGAACGCTGTTCAGTGGTAAAGATAATATCTAAGCAGGGCTTAAAATGAATAAATAAAGCAGTTTTTTTATTAGGCCTCAGACTAATTTCAGTTTCTAACTGATCTTCAGTAATTCCTAGACGTATTTTTTGTTTCCTTTTATTCTCGAGGACAAACCGAATCTGCACGCGGTCCAGTAATAGATAGCTTGAGCTTTCGAAGGCAAGCTTGCTTCTTAGATTTCCGGTTGTACCCTAATTTTAGCTCTAGAACGTCATGTCGCCCTTCAAATTTTAGCAATGACCGCTTTCATGGCCGCTCACTCGCCAATTACAAATCCTACTATATTTGCTTCAATGGCCATTGCATCAAATGGCCAAGACCATAACACGTCATCTATGTCTTGGTCCTTAATACGTCTAATTATAGCGGAGCTCCGGCGGCTCCAGGAGCCGCCAAGCGGAGCCCCATGCTCATACAGGAAAGAAAAGGAAACCCATGAGTTGATTTTCTCATGGTTATCATGGCTAGCGGTATTACTCGTGGGCGCGTTACGCACGACGGCGACGACAACAACGACGACGACGACGGAGTCGCGCAACATGGCGGCCATACTCCAAATGATAGGTTGACGGAGACATGCAACCTTGTTTTACCGTGTACTTCTTTGATATCGGAAAACCATGATATGATCAATTCACACCTGTCAAAACAAGGTATCCGTTGACCAGTATCACGTGACTATATCGCGGGCTCAAGTTTAAAGCTTATCGAGATCGCGCCTTTTTTTGAAGTTGAGCGCTGACCAAGTGTTGGTTATCGATTGGATCCCGGGCTCATCTCAGGTTAACTTGTTGAAAACAGGGCAGGATTGTTCGGAAGCCCGTTAACGCTAACCCAGGATTAAAAGTTTACCGAATTAGAACTTTTTCTTCTATACAAATGGTTTTTGCTGCTTTGTTTTGTGTATATGATTATCAAAACTCAAAACAGAAGGCCAAACAATATACAGAAAACCTCAAAATTCTACCTTTTCCTGAGTTAGCTTAATCGGGCTTTGAACAACCCGGCCCAGGAGCTACGCTTTTAGGCTGGCCTAAATCTATATATTAACTTGAAGCCGTAAAACGTGACTGTTAGTAGTACGTAGAGCTCCGTCGATCCAGCTGATCCATTATATTCTCGGAATCTTAATTGATATTCCTGGAGCCCTCCTCTTTTATATATTTATCACACACGGGACAACATTACTGAATGCCGATTGGCTGAGACAGAGAGCATTTTCTCTTAATCGCGAGAGCACTTTGGTAATACAGAGGGCATGATTACTTGATGTTGATTGGCTGAACGCGCGTCGTCTGTAATGAGTTGGCATCCCGCTTTTATTGGATCCATTGTGAAATCACTGGTGATCAGTGCAATCCGATTGGCTCTCAGCTGTGCTATTTATTCACGAATAGCACCATATTTTGTTCTAAATTGCATGCAATAAGATAAGAACACTAAAACAAAACAACCGATCAGATTTCAAGGTTTGTTTAAAGTAACCAATCAAAATGCAGTGTCGTGCAGAATCGTACTGTTCTTTGCTCTAAATTGCTAAATTTTCCTTAGCGTTGTTACAAACCGGTGACTGGATCTATAAAATATTGGTACTGACTATAATCCTGTATTTGGGCGATTAAACTGTGGCATTTCAAAATGGAAATAATAAAGTCGTGATTGAACTTCGTATCTTGCTCATGGCGGCCAAAACTGAAACTTAATTTCTTCGTTTTACTTTGGATAGCTTTATTAGAATCAGAGGCCACCTATCCGCCTTAAAAGGAGCGTTAATTTGTCAGTACTTGCACTTTTCACGGTGGAAAGGGAAATTTTGGAACCAAGAAGTTACTAGAGCTCGTCTGGACACTTTGTTTACGTCTTTATTGATGCAGTAATTTCATGCAGTAGAATCTGCTTCGCAAAATGAGGTGCAAAAAACTGAATCGCTGTAACATCTGTAAACAAAATCCTTTGAGTGAACTGCGGTATACTTTTCCTTTTCTAGTGCTACGAGCGAAACAGTTTACCCTGGAAGAAATCTGGAAGTCGCGGTGACTCGGGATTCGAGCGCGAGGCGAT